CAGGCGTTGGGCGCGTGGCTGACTGCCCCGGGGGGTGGGGGTTTCCCCCGCCTCGGCTGCCATCTTGACTGTTTTGACCCCCTTCACAGCCCCCCCCCCCCAAGAAAGCGGATCCCTGGGGGGAATGCTTTTCACCCGGGGAGCTGATGGCTCCTGTTCGCACCTGGAAGAGGCAAAGCCTGGACCCGACGTTGAAAGAACTTACCTAAAATATCCTAAGATGAGAACCGCAATCGTCAAAGATCCCAGCGAGATGGAATAACCAACGGTGTAAATCACATAAAGCCGATGGAAGACTTCCTGGAACAAAGACAGATGGGTGCAGAGAGAAATGGATAAAGGAATTGTTGGAAAATTGGAATGATTATTTTTGTCTCTGCAGGGCTTAAATGCTGCTCAGCGGGAGGGAGAAGGGACAGCAACGGAAATTTGGAGAAATCTTGTGCAGTCAAACAGAAATGGATCTAGGGAGAGGCAACGTCGTAACTTTGGAGACTGGTGGGCTCTGCCCCACCAAGTTGGGCGAGACCAATTTGGAGACCAGAAAGAAAGGTTTCCGAAAATGCCAATCTTGCCCAGTTGGCTTTCCCGAGGGAATTTCTGACCAGTGTCAAAAAAACTCAAGTATAAACAATGAGGAATAATTTTGCCCAAGGCCTTCCAAGTCCACCCCACTCCTCTTTGGATAAATGCACCTAATTCTCGTGTAATAGCAAACAGGATTTGCACTGGGCAGCAGAATCCCAGCTGATTCCAGTGGCGTTGACCTAGGAGAACATCTTGTTGACTCAAGGGCCCATATTTCAGCCTTTTGGAAAACAGCAGTGAAGCTGCCAGTTGTGGCTGTTGGGGGCTCTCTTAACCAGCCTTTCTCATCTTGGGCACCTTAATACAACTCCTAGCACTCAGCATCATCGAGTCACAGAATCCTAGAGATGGGACCTCAGAGGTCCTCTACTCCTCTAGTCCAGTGTTTCTCAACCTTGGCAACCTGAAGATGGGTGGAAATCACCTCTGGTGAGAGGTATTCTGGGGGATGAAGTCCATCCATCTCCAACCTGCCAAGGTTGAGAAACAGTGATCTAGTCTAGTCTAATCCCCTGCTCAGTGTGGATCCAGTAGAGTACCTCTGACAGATGGCCATCCAGCCTGGTTGAAGACTTCCATTCTTGTATGTTCTGCTAGCTCATGCCTCATGCAGTCCGGAAGGTCCTGCTGATGGCTACCTTGAACTCCCTTCCTCATCGTTGACTTGGAAGACCATCTAGAGTAGCTTTCCCCAACCTTGGCACCTTCTGGATGTGAGGACTTCCGTTCCCAGAATTCTCCACCACAGTGCCCAGGTTGGAGAAGGATGCTTTTCCCTTCACACACCCTGCCTGGAGGCCCCTTCTCTTGAATCTGTCCATCAAGCACAAGACAAATGTTCATCCTGCAGAGGACTTGGAAAAGGGACAAGAATGAACTAGCAGACACCCGGGAGGGAGAAAGTGGAGCTCTGGAGGGAACACTTTTGCGCGTGCAATAATTTATTCTGTCCCCGTGCCATGGATGTGCTTCCTGGTTTTGGAGGGAGCAAAATCTGTGTCTGGGAGATGCTCCAGGCGATATCTGCTCCTGGGTACCAGCAAAGATCATTGGTGGTCCCTACAAACACAGCAGAGAACCTTGTGTAGTTTGGGGGCCTCTATTATTTCTGGAACTCTCCCCCAAAAGGGAAAAACAGTGTACAGCACTCTTTTAGCTCAGAACATCTTTTTTTTAAAAAGCATCTGTATTTTCCTAAGTAAAGTATTCCCTTCTTTTTTTAATTTGCATAGCTGGATCGTTTTGTAGGCATTTTAACATCATACTTTAATTACAACCATTAGTGATGAAGGGGGGAGTCTTTACTCCAACAGACGGCCTATCTCTTCCTTTTTAAACACGCACGCACACACACACAAAGGGTTTTGCTTGCCAACACACAGGAAATGCATCGTCCATTTCAGGTTTGAGATTGGGTTTCTTCCATTTCTGCCCCCCCGCCCCCCCCCCCGGGATAAGAAAATCATAGTAACAATAA